GTGGTTGGTTGTATTGCAGTAAATGTGTTAACCCATTTATAGTGAAGCAAGACAGTGTGTCCAGATTCCTGTGGCAATGTCTTTGGAGCATGAGCCTGAGGATGGATGTAGACTCAGTCATGAAAGCGGGGGATCTGAGAAACCTAAGAATAAAATCTGCCCACAGCGCCTGTCTTTGCCTACTCACAGAGCGGTCTACTTCCCATTATCACTGAAACAACTCATACCACATACCTGTCGTTATAAATGTACCTGTCATAAGATAAGATTTTTTGGTGGTTTGGGTATACTGTTTCATCTTCCATTTAAATCATATTTATAGATTTTAAGCACATTCCATAAAAATGTCCTGAGTACCTAGTATGTGCCAAATCCCATGCAGGGTTTTGTGGATTTAAAGATGAATGAGAGATACTCTTACATACAAAAAATTCATGGTCCCATGGAGCAGAAATACGCACAGTACACATTACATTGTAATACATCTTAAGTGCTACAGGGATAGTGTGAAACATATGCTATAAGAGAGTGATTAATTACTCCTTGGGAATCCAGAAAAGTCTCATTGAGGTGGCATTTGATGTGGACCTGAAAGGTGAGAATTAGCTTGTCAGGCAGCTGAGAAACTAAGGTTTGTCTTCCCAAGGGAGGCCTTTGAATGAACAGAATGTGTTTCCATGTGGGGCACTCTCGTCTTTTGTTTGAGGTTGGTGTTGTTCACTCATCAAAATCTATACAGAGATAAGAGCCTGGGAGGTGACCTTTGGACATTTCTGTCCAGGGGGAATAAAGGTGGGGCACTTCCTCTGGAGGATAGCAGCTCTGGTAGGTTAGGGTTATACTTTCAAAGTCACTTCTTGGCAATGAAAATGCAAGTTTTTGGGCCTATTCTCTCTTCAAGTGCAGAGTAACTTACCTTGTAGAGAAAGGAAAGGGGAGAAATTACCCAGAATCTTTGATTTCTAAGAAAAAACATTTAACCATCTCTCTGCCTACAGAAAGTAAACCAAAGTATCTAGGTTTCTGAAGTTTATGAAATTATACTTATTTAACATTATAAATATTTAATTGAGTCAACCCATATCTACGCCTTAATATATTGAATGTAGAACTTTTACTGTCTTCAAAATGACGCGGTCAATCAGTAAGTCTGATAAAATTAAATGTTTTTGAATGAGATAAAAAAAAATTATACCATAGGCAAAATTAAAGGACCAAAACCAACCGAGAAAAAAATTTGCAGCATGATTGACAGAGTGAAGAACTGTGCTATACCCAGAGTTCTCGCAGATAAATAAATAAATAAATAAATAAATAAATAAATAAAGACAGGTAATTGATAGGCAAAGGTAATAAACAGGGAATTCTATAGAAAATAATCATACAAAAATGCTCAACTTAACTCATAATTATAGAAATATAAATTAGAACAGCTATGATGTACCCTCTATGACTTACCAGATTGGCAAGCATAAAAATTTTAATACTACCTGGTTTTGGCAACAGCCTGGGGAAACAGGCTGCCTCATAAACTCAGGGGTGGATTCCACATTTGTGCCCGAAGCTCATACAATTTTGGAAGACTTTTAAGAAAAACAATACACTATTAAGTATGACCTTGAATTTTCGCTTAGAATGAGAAAAATTCAAATAAATTATAAATGTTTAAAAGATAACAAATACCACAAACATTGCAAAATCCAGAAAAATAACATATTTGTACGTATTAATGCCCTGCATACCTCTATAATACCTTTATACCTGCATGTTAAGAAATATGTTTTTGTTGATTTTAGAGAAAGAGGAAGGGAGAGGGAGAAAGAGAGAAAAACATCAATGTAAGAAAGACAAATTGATAAGTCGCCTCCCTCACGAACCCCGACCCTGGAACGAACCAGCAACCCCGGGCCTGTGCCCTGACCCGGAATGAACTGGTGACCTCTGGGTGTATGGGCCACGCTCAACCACCTGAGCCACACTGGCCAGGGCTATACCTGCATTTTTGATGGCATACTTTCTGATTATCATGTCATGTCATGTCATGTCATGTCATGTCATGTCATGTCATGTGAAAATTTTATATTTTATACAGAGAATGGAAATATAAGCCACAGTTTATCAAAATTAAAAAAATTTTGATAGTTTAGGAGTTTTAGATTTGCAATTTATTGGAAATATGTATGTTTTTAAAATAACTATCAAATTTGGAAAACAATCTAAAAAGTTTCTTTCACGTGATTTGTAATATTTCAAGGAATGTCAACTGTTGCATAGTGACTAATGAACCTTAAAGACTCTGAATTGATGGCACTCCCCTTAGTAGCTGATGGCCTCATCGTGGTGGTGTAGTCTGAGCTTTATGCTATTGTTTTCCATGCTAGTATTTCCTCTCAAATAGACAGGGAATTGAATCATTTTCAATGTATTAGCATGATTCACTCTTCTTCATAAATTTGATCATCAAATAAGCCAAGAGCCTATTCATTATTTCTACTTAAAAATGTATTGTGTTATTTTAATGAATTACTGCTTAAGTGACTTGAACTTCCTAAACAGCTCACTTCTTTATGTCAAAATAACTTCTATTGGAGATCAATTAGCTCATTGTACATACTCCTCAGCACACCCTATGGTGAAAGTAGAAATTCCAATTGTGTATTTGGAGGACAAGTTGGCAATGTTTACCAAAACTTAGAATCACATATTCTTTGACCCAACACTTTCACTTCTAGTAATTCATTCTATAGATAGACTCTCACAAATGAACAAAACTTTATGTACAAGGATGTTCCTTGAAACATTGTTTGTAACAAGGAAAAAAATGGAAACACTCTATTAATAGAGGACTAGTAAAGTTAGTTATGGATATCCATACTATGATATGTTATGTGGCTATTAAAAAATAAGTTAAGAATAATTTATATACATATATATGATATTTAAATTATATTTTAAATGAAAAAAAGTACACTGTAAAATAGTATATATAGTCCAGCCATAATTCATTTTATACATAATTATATTTATGTAGAAAATTTCTGGGCAGGCACAAATCATACTATTTACAGTTGCTACTTCTAGAGATTGGACTTCTACTTATAAATATTTGTATATTTTAATATTATTCCCTCCTCTTTTATAATAAAATGTTTTGTTTTTATAATAAAAATATTTAAAACTGCTGCTCAAAAACTATTTCTGTGACTTCTCATGCATAAATGACTACTTTCTTTAGACTCATCTTTTTAAAACATTAAATTAAAGGGTCTGCCCTAGAGAAACTTTGCTTGCAAATGACCTACACCATTCTTAACTATTCTCTTTTATTTTGAGCTTTGTTTCTTATTACTCTGTATTAATCTCATTCTTGTGACCAGAACTTTAGTACAAAAGTAAACCCAAAGTTTTGGGGGATTTCTTGAATAATGCCTTAGTTAGTAGAATAAAGTATCATGATAATTGGGTGATTAGAACTATTTGAGGTATTTTGTTCTGAAATCAGAGCAATCATTATTTTATAGGGGATATAAAGACATGTTAGCCTTTAAGTGGTTCTAATAGGGTCCAAGAGAGTAGGAGATTCTAGTCATCTCAGAAAAGACTGATGGGTATATTCTAGGGCACTTGCAAGAGTGTCTGCCTTAAAAAGGAAAAGGTAACTCATAAAGGATATAACACCTATGATGCAATGGCAGCTTTGCCTGGGGAGAGGGGAGCGAGCAGGCTTGCTCATGAGCAGTTATTAGCATACTTACCCAAATGATGCAAGGATATTAAGAAATCAGTGATTTATTACTATTTCCTTGTGTCTCAATGTTTTCTCTTCTGCAAGTTTGGATTTGCCATAGGCCTTTTAAAAAATAATCGTAGCCAGTTACAACATAGGCACCAAAAAATCTGCTTTTGATAAATCATTTATTTTAAAACAATGTGTCTGTAGTCTGACAGAATCAAAGAGGCTGAGTGGCTTGTTTCAGAGCAAAACNCATTTATTTTAAAACAATGTGTCTGTAGTCTGACAGAATCAAAGAGGCTGGGTGGCTTGTTTCAGAGCAAAACTCTTTCACTACTACAGTACAATTGATACACAATATTATATGAGTTTCAGGTGTGCAATCTAGCCATTTAACATTTATATACCTTACAAAGTGATCACCACAATAAGTCTAGTACCCATTTGTCACCATACAAAGTTATTACGAGGCTACTGACTATATTCCCTGTGCTGTACATTACATCCCTGTGACTTATTTAATTTATAGCTGGAGGTTTGTACCCATTTACCATTCCCCCACCTCCCTCTGCTCTAGCAACCATCAGTTTATTCTCTATATCTATGAGTCTGTTCCTGTTTTGTTTGTTCATTTGTTTAGTCTTTTAGAGTCCACAGATAAATGAAATCATGATATTTGCTCTTTGGGCATGAATGGCCTGCAGGTAACAAGACTAGCTGTTGATCACTTTGGTCCAGAAAACCTTTAGGGCATTAGCTCCATCCATATAGTTATTAAAAAGCAACGATTCTTAAACTTCACATGCATAAGAACACCATAAACAGCTAGTTAGAAAGAACCAGCCACCACTGTGTGATGCAGGACCACACTGAGAAACCTGCCTGAGAGCTGAGGCCTGCTCTGGAGAAAGGCTACAGGCACAAAGCCTTATCTCTTATTCCTTTCCTTGAGCAAGCCCAACCCTCTGCTTCCTGATTTGTAAAAATAGAAATAAAACGCATCGACTGGTAGACTGGTATGCTAACATGCTTAGGTTAGCTCAAGTAATAGAGGTTTAACACGCGTACACATTAGGGGCTGTAAAAGAAAGCAAGGCCTCAGCAGTTGCCCAGCCTGGGTTGGAGAAGTGGGAATGCATTTCTTGCTGGAAAAGAATATGCCAGGGGCTCCACAGCCCAGCAGGAGCTCTCTCCTTGTGTTTCATGGTGCAACTTCTGCTTTCCATTGACCATCTTTCTGAGTCTCTCTACTTCGATGCCCTTCTGCCCTCTTTACTTTGTAACTGTGTGCCTCCCACTGAATCAAACCAAGACAGGAGGGGACAATCAGGTAGGGCAACCACAGCCTAGAATAGAGCCTGTAGATGTCAATGTTTGGGTCAGCAATTGGTCTAAGCAGTTAGGGCAACACTGGTAGAGTCATAAGGTACAAAGCATAACAACTACGCATTGAAAACCCTTCAAAATGAGGTTTTGGAAGGGACAGATAGTTGTCAAAAGAGGACAGTGTACATGCCTGGCAAGCACATTGTAGGCCACTCATTCACTTGGCCACTCAACTATTGTTGCATCTTTACTAGCACAGAGCCCCTGACCTCAAGGAGCTTAACAGGTACATAAACAAGCATCACCCACTGTGAACACTGCCGCAAGAGAAATGTGCCCGAGTCCATGGGAACCCAGAGGAGCAGGGACCCCAGAAGGCTTTCTGTAGGATGTGAATTTTGAGCCAGGCTCCACAATCAGGCTAAGTAAAGTGGGAAGGGAACCCACATAGAAGTCCTACCAGGAGCGCAGGCACCAGGGCTTTACCCCAGTGTTGGCGGAGCTCCAGTAATGCTGCTCAGCCTGTCCTCACCTGTCTTCGTGTACTCTGTGTCCAGACTCCTTTTCAGCCATTTCAGATGCTGTAAGGGAGATAAAAATACAAATTACCTTGAAAAGTAAGGGACTATTATTATCTAAGGAACTGCAGAAAAATGTGGTTCCTAGAGGGCAGCTTAGGGGAGAAATGTACCCAAATGAATTAAAACTATGCAGTGATATCCCAGGCATGGATTAACTACTCTAAATAGAAATCCTACTCCTATCAAGTCCACATTTATTTCTAATTTTGGCCTGATGTGGAGAATCCTTGAAAGAGCCTGTACAACCCAGTGCCATCTGGAAACGTCCAGTGTTTATTAACATTTTAATAGCCCAATTAAACATTCTTGGCCTGGCTAAGTTACAATTCAAAATGTCTCAGGATTTATTTTCCTGATTAAAAAAATACAGCAGTTTTTTTCTTTACCTAAGAATGTTTATCTAGGAATCTTTATCTAGGAATCTTTATATCCTGCAGTATTTTTAAGGCTATTGATTTGCTCCTGAGTAGTCTTGAAGAGGTGTAATCAAATCTCCTTCAGATGAAAATATGTCTGGTTAATTATGAAGGTATAATTTTATCAATAACATTTTATTTCACCCTATCAATAACTACAGGAAAGAACTATTCCTAAAAATACAAAAAACTATATTTCCAGTAAGTATGAACGTATTATCTGTCAATAACATTTTATTATATCATATCAATGATTACAAGAAAGAACTATTTTTCAAAATACAAAAAATCTACATCATAACTCTAAGTTTGTTCATTATGTTTTGCTCAGGACATTTCTTATTTTTATAGTAACCCTCAGTTTACAAGGGATTTTCACTAGGTGTAGGGACAGGGATTATTCCCTTTTTAAAAATGAGGCAAGTAAGTTTCAAAAAGTTAACTGACTTGCCCAGTGTTGTGTAGCTGATAAATTCAACCCTTCTCAAAATGTCCACAGAATGCAAAAAAAAAAAAAAAAAAAAAAGATCTATAGTCAAAGTAGTTTGGGAAATGTTGAAATAAACAAAGCTAAACAGTTGTTGTTTTTTTAATTGCAGACATTTCAGAGAAAGTTTATATGCTAGTGTGCTTTGTAAATGTCCAACAAGAGAGAGAGAGTCTGCAGCATTTCCTAAACACAGGTAAACATGAGATCTTTTATATCCAGAAGTATCTTATGGGATGAGCTATGAAACATAATCTGGTAAATTCTACCCTACATCAGACTCCTTGTTTTAACCCTCCCATAAGAATCTAGTTGGTGAGTTGTGATGAGTAACGATGAGAGGAAAAGGTAACCGAGCCTGACTAGTGCTATAGTGATAGAGGGGTAGACAATAACCTCAGCGGCACTACAGACAACAAGAGGGACAAAGAGACACTGACAATCACAAGCAAATTTCTCTCTTGATCAAGAGTAGTCACAGGGACTGAGAGCAAACCATCCATCCATGATCTTTATTTTGTTGAGATCTAATTTAATTTAAACCAGGTAGGAACCCAATCAAAGAAGGTGTCTTGATTTACCTTAAGAAACAACCAAATTGCCTTGGCTGGCTCACTTGGTTGGGTGTCGTCCCGTGAACCAAAAGGTCGCCGGTTTGATTCCTGGGCACATGCCCGCGTTGTGGGCTCAATGCTCGATCCCTGGTAGGGGGTATGCAGGAGACAGCTGATCGATGTTTCGCTCTCACATAGATGTTTCTCTCTCTCTCCCTCTCTCCCTTCCCCTCTCTCTAAAAATCAATTTTTAAAAAGAAGAAACAACCAACTTCTAGATAAATCTCATACAAATCTTATAAATGGAAAACTTAGCATGGCCAGTTTAACAATAAGCTTAACAATCTGAAAAAAAATGACATAATAATGTCTGAATTTCAACATCTCTAGACATAACAAAAAAGGACAGTTACATTAGCAGACTAGCAATGCTTGATTAAGGCACAGAGAAATTGAAAGAACAAAGAGCATATTTGTATAAAGTGTAAGTTTATTATGTTGCAATAGGAATATTAAAAGGGAATGTGATTTAATAGTGAACAGGTTGAATAAAAGGCACTCCTCTGAGAATTCCTGTCATGAAGTACTGGAAAAAACTTTACTGGGAAAATGCTTGCTACCTAATAATGTCATTGGTGACTCATCTGAAATTCAGACATGGGCCTAATGAGGCTCTGAGAGAATGCCTGGCAGATTCAGTCCTATTCAGTGTTGCAAACAGGATAAGAAACCAAAGCTCTCAACTGATACAGTTTTCTACAACGTTCTGTTATTTTGCTTTGTGTTGTTTTTAACTGAAATCCTTGCAGTTGCATGCCTTCTGAAACAGAATTAGTTTTTGTTGAAAAGTGCTCCTCCAGTTCAAAATAATCTCACCTTTGCTTTCACTTGGGCCCTGTGTTCTCAGCAGAGATTCTTAAGCCTGGCTGCCCATTAGATTCATTTGGGAGATTTAACAAGTCCCCATGCCCAACGGCTGTCCTGGACTAGGCAGACAGAATCTCTGGGAATGGAATCTATATTTCTTAAAAGTTTGTTAGGTGATTCAAAATAGAAGTCAAAAGCCTCCAAACACTGTTGTTACATTCATGACTAGTGACTGAGTAGGCTGTCTAGTGTCTAACGAGTGATCCAAAAATTCAAAGAACTAAGCATGAAGAAAACATTCCCAGCCAACAGTTAGCATACAGTCAGTTGCTTGGGAACCAGCACATGGGACACCAGAAAACAGTCCAATGTTTGAGGCAAGGGACCCTGAGTGCTATAATAAATGTTAGTGAGGAGAATCCAAGAAAATGACCCACAGACTAGGCAAGGGAGCCTAAACCAAGGATGAGCAATGCAGAACTTTCTGGAGATGGGCTGGGTACATCTGGGAGCCCACAATGAGCATTTTTTCTCCACCTCGTCTCTGTAGCTGCTACCACCTACACTCTTAACACCACCTTTACCCCCCAAAATAACATAACATTGTTTTCTTCTCATAAAAAATTTAGATAGCATAAAGTATATAAAGGAGGAATTCCTGCCACCAGAGGAATTTACTGTTCATATTTTGGTTTTCAGACTTTTTGCTAAGCAAATATACATATAGGTTTTTATACATTTTTAAAAACATATATCTTTATTGATTTCAAAGAAAGGAAGGGAGAAGGAGAGAGAGGGATAGAAACATCAATGCTGAGAGAGTCATTGATCGGCTGCGAGCCCGCAACCTGGGCATGTGCCCTGACCGGGAATCGAACCCCGATCGCCTGGATCCTAGGTCAACGCTCAGCCGCTGAGCCACGCCCGGCAGGGCCAAGGTTTTTATATATTTTTGAAAGTTTATTCACACTCAATATGAGTTTTTTTCCTGCAAAAATTAAATAACCAACTATGGAAGATTCTTATATTCTAAAGTTTTAATAATTATAGTAAAAGCGACAACTGATAATATTGATTGAGGCCAGGCACTGTTCTGAGTGCTTTGCATGTATTACTGGCACATTTAATTATGACAGATCTTTAAGGCTGATAAAATTATCATCTCCATGTTATAGCTGAGAAAGCAGGAAGTTTAAGTAAGTTGTCCAGGGTGACAAAGCTAGCATAATCCAGTCGAGAGGCTGGGTCAAGTTGTCACCCATTCCTCTATAATACTAATGATTTGTGAATGTTATCAAAGAACTATCTTGGTTTCAAGAAAGAGCAAAAGTAAAACATTATTATTAGGGTAAGAGAACCCAAGGACAAGGATGTCACTGAGCTTCAGAAACAAATGACGAGAAACCCTACACCCTCAGGATCCTACCGCTCTCTCTCCCTTGCTTCGCTGACATCTTCCTCTGTCTCCCAGGCCATGGGGTTGAAAATAGCCTCCCAAGTTTGCATGTTATAAGTCCTACCACTTGAAGAGTTGGCTCCTTCTCCAAATGTGTCCTCTCCACAATTCCAGAGAGGAAACTCTGTGGTCCATTTGGCCACATGCCCATCCTTAAGGTAACTTACTAGCTGTGGCCGTAGAGCAAGATCCCATTGCATCTATCAATACATGGTCTGGAAGGAGAGATCCTTGAGCAGACAACTAGGGGGTTCATTGCCGTGAGTAGCTACATGCTTTATAACTAAAGTTATAACTAAAATTGCACGATTTTTCAGAGGCATGAATCTGAAGCATACCCGTAGCAAGCCTCATCACTCATCTAATGAGCCCACATCTGCATCTCAAGATGGTTTCATCTCTCAAATGCTATAATGTTCATGAAGCACTATAGTGTTAGTCTTCATGAGCCTGAGACTTCAGGACTTATAGCAGCATGATATTGCTTCCCAAACAGACACAGATTCATGTCTGAAAATCCTTGAAATATAAGTGCTTCCTGAAGTGTCTTGAAGTAGCTAAGAGGAGGAATTACATAGTTTAATACACATCAAAATTTCTTTTAAAATTTTTCATTAGTGTTTCTCTTCTCCCCCGCCCCCACCCCAGTCCCTTCGTTCCCTTAGCCTTTCTCCCATATCCAGAGCTCTTTGGCTGTTGTTGGTATTGGTGTTGTTTTGGTTTCATTCATTTAGGTTTTTTCTGTGTCCAATTCACCTTAAAAGAATCACTGGCATTTTTTGGTATCTCTCATTTTTCTCCAACCACTACTCAGGTCAGTACAATAGCCATAGGGTAGTAGATGAGGAAGGGGAAAATCAAGAACTACTTCTTGCCTTACCAAGTTTTGTCTTCCTGAAATCAATACAGTGTTGTACAATGAAGGAGCCATCCGCACGAGGCACCCAGGGTTTGTTCCAGTCCACGCCTCAACACCCACTTCCTTCCTGTCTTCTGATGAGCTGAGTAAAATTCTTTCCAAGGCACTTGAGAGTAAAGCTGGGGACTCTAGACTAATCCTGAAGTTAAATATTCAGCAGCAAGACTGTCATATCTGTCTCCCATTTGCTAATACCTAGGGTTTAATCTTTGACCAGTTTGTGACCAATCCTGGAAGCAAATCCTGGAAGCTGTCTATGACTGAATGCTAGGTGACTCTGGCTGGACCCTTGGTCATCTGTGACCAGGCCCTTGCTGGTCTGGATCTGATAACAACATCAAACTGAGTATTTTCTAGTTCTCAGGTTTACTCTAAGAACTGTAGCCCAAGCTCTGCCACGTGACCTTGTTTCTCTGAGGATTGCCACAGTTGCCTCTTTCTCTTTCTTTTCTCTAATGAGCTCTGTCAACAATGAAAGTTCAGGTCATTCCACCAGTTTGTGGTGAAGTCTAAGCTTGTTCAAGAACTCTTGGCTATAAATCACTCCCCACTGACCTGAATTGGTCGCCTCTGATCCTATAAACTGTGTTCCATCATATCTTGGAAGTAGGACCCTTCTCTCTCTCCCTTTCCTGCTAATGTATGACAAAAAAAAACAGAGCACAAAAACAAAAGTCCCTCAACATCAAAATGACATCACTCTCAACTTCACATATATATTTTTCAGGACTATCAGATTATCTATATCTAAAGTTGAGGCCTGTGAAGTCTTATTCTATGACCTAGTCCAAATGACACATGCTGCAGGCTACATTTAGCTTCTAGCTTTTATCTATTTTGAAGTTTTGCCTTTCCAGCACCATTTCAACACACAGTTTCCTGGGACATGATCTAATGCTCTTTACAAATTTTTCTAGTTTCTGGTGGTACATGGCCTTTGCCAGTGGTTTCAAAGGCTGCTTGGTTCTTTATCCTGCTAGAAGAGTTCAGAGGATGCAGTTCCCATTAATGAAGTCAGATACATACACCAGCCCAAATACCCACCACCCACTTCTCCACTTCCTGAAACGGCTCAGTTTTGTAAAGAAATAAGGTGTCTGCTTTAGGCTGCTATAACAAATAACCATAGACTGGGTGGCTTAAACAACAGATGTTTATTTCTTAGAGTTTTAGAGGCTGGAAGTTTAAGATCAGGGTTCAAGTGTGGTCATTTCCTACAGAGAACCCCTTCCTAGTTTGTAGACAGGTGTCTTTTTGCTGTGTCTTTCCTCACATGGAGCTGAGAACATAAAAGAGAGGAGGCAAGTGCTCTCCTTTCTCGTCTTATATGGACACTAATCCCATCATGAAGGTTGCACCTTTATGACCAAAGGCCCCATCTTCAAATGCCATCACATTGGGATTAGGTCAACATATGGATTTTAGAGGGGCACAAACATTCCACAGCTGTGTCTTTAAAATCTGGGTTAAAAAAAAGTGAACAGCCTATGATGTCTAAGACCATCTCTTCTAATTAAGGGAACTCAAATGCCACCATCTACATGTTGTGGTTCCCATGGTCCATCCAGACTCAGTACACAATTTCTCCCACAGTGGTAACTCTGATCCTAGAGAAACCTCCACGGTTTTATCTGATTTGAGGATGACACTCTAAGAACCATAAGGCTTGTGTCATGTTGACCTTCCACTCTTTTCCTCCATGTTTTCAATAGCTGAACAATGGTGAAAGCATTTCTTGGCTGCATTCTGTGTCATGATTTTATCCAAGGTGCAGCTGCGCATTATTCTTTGGGTCCAATATCCAAGGCATTTGCCCCCAAAATGTAAGCTGAATTAAACCAGATTGCCTTGCACCTGCTTTGAAGACTGTCTCAACATGGTAGCCCATCCAAGAGAAACAGAAATGTGTCACCCAAAATATCTTCATGAAGAAAATATTTTTCTGTTTTATTACAAGCTCTTAAGGGATAGAGTGGAGGGGTCTACACGGTGCTTCAGAGCTGAGCTCAACTTTCTGGAAGTCTTCTCCTAGGGCCTTGGTGCCAAACAGCACAGTACATAATTACCCTTAGAGGAAGGAGGTGTGAAAGAAAGATGAATGCTTATACTTTAGGATTGGTGTCTCTGAAACCATGGAATTAAAAAAAGCTTTCTACACTATCCCCATATAGTATTCAGAATTACCAGGCTTATGTCATGAAGAAGTCCATCTTGCTCATGTAATTGCTGAAAGTTGTGCTTCTTGAATGTCTTTTCCTTGCCAGCTTCCTTTGGTAACAAGTGGGGAATAATGAAAATATTCTGAGATGTCATAACAGAAAAACTAATTTCTAATGGCACTCTGAAATGCATTGCCTGCATGTACATCTCTCAAACACCTATTTGTATCTGTCCTTCTCCGGTGACCAATTATCCTGATTTTGATTAGGATGGAGGGGTTTCTTGAGACACAGGACACTCAATGCTGAAAGCAAGAAAGTTTAGGGCAAATCCTGTTGAGTTGGGCACTCTAGTTTCATGCCCAATATGAATAGAGACCCTGAAATATTGCTAAGAAATGTCTTGACTGAGGCACCACATGTTTTCAATGGCTGTGCTGAATTAAAGAGCATAGACCATAATTCTTTTCAGAACTCCCCCAGCCCAATATCCTGCCCCAGCCCTCATCTTTACCTACCCACATCATCTTTTGCTCATCTTTTGGATGTGTGTCAACACTCTCTACAGTTAATTGTGCTACATCCTGTATTCCAGATAACACTGCCAGAAATCGATGCAGGGTTTAGATTTTGGCCGCAAGGGTCTGGTTGTGAAACGTACATATTTATGTTTGAGAGGAAAGTGGTAGAGAGAAGAATCCTACCTCCTTTGGCTGGTTTGTGGAGTGAGCTCAGTACTACACTTTCAGATTTAAAGTAATTAGAAATAATGAGCCTCTGGGATTACCCCAAGTCTTCCAGGAGATAGAGAGTATGCCCCAAGTCATGCTGGCTATGAAGACTAGAACTCATTATGGATAAAAGTGGAAGAATTAGATTAAACTAATTCATGGGCATGAGTCCAAAGATCATTGAAAAACATGGTAGTGGTGCCACATAAATAACACATGGATCCAAAAGAGTCGTGCCAACATTGTGAGAAGAAACTTGATTCGTAGAGCTCCAATCCAGCTGCCCTCAAGACCTAATAGTGTTATTCTTCTGGTTTGTAGCTGGGAATCTATTTAAAGACTGGAGAATTTGGTTTCGGCTGTTCTTTCTCTGCTTAAGTCATGTCATAAGTAATGTCCATCAGATGTAAATCTGTCTGTGTGGATGGCGCCTTGACTCTAGCAGAGAATCTCCAGTCTAATGAAGAAAATGAAAAGTCTCTTTACCTCTTGGCTGGGTTCCTGCCTCTTGTTGTCTCTTTTTTTCTACCATGTAAGCATTACATTGGTCTTAATCATTTTTTCTTAAAAGCCCTGGACTTTACGATTATTAAAAAAGACACTATGGACTCTGTTGCTCATTTTTTAAAAGTAATAATAGCAATAAATTAATGGGAGGCCCATGATAGTGACAGTGCTGCCCTAGGGAGAGCCCTGAAGCCCAAAACAACAGCCTCCAGACCAACAGAGGGAGAGAGCGTCTGCTCTGGCTGGCTGCTAGATGGGTTTTGCCAAAGATTTCTTCTTCTCTGGAAATTGCTCATATGTGTCTCATACATGTGTGAAGTAGCTTTCTCCAACTGGAAAACCATAAAGAAGCAATAAACAAATGGAACTCTGGTGAAAACCCCTTTAGAAGTATCATGCATGCTTTTTATTGCATGCACAATTGTTTATTAAATGGTCTCATTTTGCTTTTGCTCTTGTATAGTGAACTCTCATTGCTATCCACACTCCCAGATGTGGTTGGGCCCCTATGTTGTCCACTAACTTGGGTATATCTTTCACTATTTAAAAAAAAAAAAATCATAAGAAAAGAACCAAATACTGAAAAAGGAGCCAAAAATACAATGAAATGAAATAAATCCTAATTAGAAAGGCTCGTCTTCTTTCCAAAAGCATGTGTTTCTCCACAGCCCTGCACGGTAGACCACATGAGTTGGGACTGCCATTTCAATGAGCCGCTTGAATTGTCCAAAACTGAATACATGAGTAAAAAGCAACAGCAGTGATATTGTCAATAGGCTGTAAGTATTTAAAACACGATGGCAGCAAGATTCTTCAAATGTGAGGAATAGCTGGAGCCAATAATCATGAGTGCATAGATATGACGAAGCTGATTAATTAGGGTAACGCGATGAAAGAAATAGGCTAAGAGAATGAAATAAACTGCTATATGTAGGGTCTGGTTCTCATTTCTTGCAATGCATGCCTCTTTTGAGTACTTTTCCCCTCATTCCTAGGGAAGATGCTAAGTTAAAAAAAAAAAACAACTTTCATAAAACATTACTTTTAAAATTTATATAAAATACATTAAGGATAGAAATCATATTCTGTTTCAGTTTCACACACTTTTGATCCAAACATCATGAAAATAAATATATAATTTTTATTTTTTTTAAAGCCCCATCGTGGCCTATACCACAAAGGGCTCGGATATCAGGAAAGGAAAAAATGATTTATCTTCATTACCATCTATCCACACATACTCTTGGCAATCATGAAGACATTCTCCTTACAGTTTCACAAGGAAAATAATAGAACTTGGGGTCTGAGTGTCAGGATCTGGCCTGAGTCCATTTAGTGGCAAAAGGAATTCTTGAGTACTGACATTACATTTCAACGGGGCACAAAGAGACTGGATTTACACTCCTTCTTGGATTAGGTTTTATTTTTATATTCATTCTCTCTAGATAATCAAAAGCAGCTCCACCAATGGCAGGTGGGACGTGTAGCAATGTTAGTGATCCTCAGGATGAAATTCAGAGATGTCTGAGATGACATCTGAAAGACCAAGTGGCTGCACCCACCCCCACCCAGCCAAAGGGGGTGCTTGTGATTCCTCTCGCATTACCTTTGAGGTGTCAGTCACCACAGCGATGAATGTCGGTTGTTCTGAATCCCACCAGTGACTCACTCTGAAAAATACATCAATAGTTTTAAATAATCACTGCCTTGTGGTCAAACAGGGGAACAGTATTCCAGTCAATTTATGAGGTCTCTGCCTTCAAGTTATGGATGAAGAGTTTGTTGCTAGCTGGGGAAGATTATTTATGATGTGATTGTTAAAGAAGGAATGATGGCGTGACCATC